ATATATATATTTAGGTATCATGTAACATATTATAATTGTTACAGTATGTTGTCAAAGTGTCTACGTCTTGTGTAAGGTGGCTATGAATAATTTTACTTGGCTTCTCATTAATATCATCAACAGCTTTACGTTTCACTTGATTACTTACAGTTTGTCTGTTCAATGTTTCATCACTATCTTTTTCGTGGGTTTCATGATTTAAAACTTGTTTAATAATTTTGTTCTTATTTAAATGGATATATGCTGTACAAATCTTTTTAGTACAGCAATATCGATCAACATTATTTTTTAAATTTTTATGGAAACGAAATTTATATCCATCAATTACATATAAACTGTGATTTTTTTCACTTAACATTTCACTTAACATTTCATTCGACATTATAAATAAAGCGACGGAACGTTCTTAGCGGTAGTAAAGCGACGACTAAGGTGTACTTATTAGTTATTGGTATCTACATTATAGGGTGATTATATTTTATCAGTCAAGATTAAATTATCTTGAATTAAAAAAACCCGGGCCGCAACTCGTCTGTACCCAAAATAAACACGGGCCGCAATTCGGATTAGACCTTTTTTCGTAGTTATCTTCGGGACGCAATTAGTATGCAGCCCTGGAGCCAATCCAAACTATTCCTCCTGCTGCAGTCTCCTTTCGCAGAGCGACCTATCGAAGTTCAGCTACAAGAGGATGAAGAAAGTGAAGAGGAACAAATTAATATTGCCGAAGAAGAATTTAAAGATTATTATTAATTATTATAATTTATAAGACAATTTTAAAAATCGGATATATTTGCTTATTACCTATTGTACTTAGTTTAAGTTTAATAATTATTTACTGTCAATTATTTTTTCTATCAATATTTAAAAAACATTAAAAATAAAATCGTAGAATACCTCTTTATGGGATACTACCAAAAATATTTTGCAACAAATGTACTTTAAAGATGGCAAAAAAATATATGGATAATATTATGAAGATAAATTAAAATTGATACATTATTTAAATCACGATAACTGATGAATTATTACTTTTAGGTAAAAAAGTGTAAGGATAATTTTTTTAGAAAATTACTTGATCTACAAATTTTGTCCAAGCTATTTTTACGAAAACACTTAAATTTTAAGAGATAAATGAAAAAACCAATTTTTGTGACCTTTGACCTCGAATAAAAAAATTAGCAGCAATAGGATCGATGGAGACTTTTGAGATTTTATTTAGGATGAGGTACTTAAGGTGTGTACCAATTTTCAGCTCTATGCGAATTATTCCGAAGTTAAATGTCTATTTTGACCGGACTATGGGTGTTATTGTTGAACAATCAAGTATCTGGGATGCGCGTATTATTGCCATACACTTCCAGTCCGTACACTAGGGACCAATGTCTCCCAAGCGTTACCCTTCATGTTGGTTAGAATTGAATAGAATATCGAATGGATGGATGCATACAATTCTCATGTTCATTAGTGTCGTATACTGGCTATTTGAAAATAAATAATCTCATTTTAGTAACCATGGAAGCAAATCTCAAATATTTTTATGATCAGAGCACTTTAGAATAATTCTACAGGCAGTTAAAATTAATTTTAAAATTTTATTAGAATTAACCACCAATGAATAATAATAACCAATTTGAAAAGCTGTTACTTGAGGCATGGGAACGGTGCACGGATGACAAAACTTTGCGTGAGTCATCCACGTATAAATGTGCAAGACAGACATTAGCTAAACTTACGTGCTCTGGGCAACGAAATAATAAAGAACTATGTCAACTTCAGTCATTAATCAATGCAATGAGAGCCGGTAACGAAGTTCACTGTTCTAAAGAGAAATTCGATGCCGAAGAAACATKTTGCACGAAAGAGCGTCCGAAAGTCTTTGAATTGTGTTGCCCAGAACAACAACGTCCGGCAAACAAAACTTGTCTACAATTCGAGCATTCAAATGACGATGAAATATGTGAGGTGGCCTTATCCAAGGATACAACGAAATCCGAACAGATTATCTACCCCCAGTTTCCCGTCCAAGACACGGATGCCGATTGCATACTGAAGTCGGCCCTGGTGACTGCAGAAGATAACGTCGGTATGCAACAGTTCTTTCGGGACGTGGCAGTAAACACTTGTGACCGTGGTGATTTGCTAATGCGTGTCACTAGTGACGTGTTAACGGACTTTCGGTACTTTATCGACAGCGTCTTTAACAATCGTGTGACGCAGATTAGCATGGTGTTGGCCCGTGAACAATTGTCTATACGTGACCGGTACGTGGAGCTCGAGTCCCGGACATTAAACCGGGCACAGCTTTCAGTGTTTCATATCAAGGAAGTAATGCCTACATTTGACTGGCAGCGGTATTCATCAGAACCAGGCTACATCAAGTCTGTTGTTGTGTCGAATTGTCTGCATAACGCTCGGGTGGAAGATGCAGATGGTGAAGATGCTAGAGGAAAAGGTCTGCTTTACCAGCTTAACTGGCTCCGGTCCGAAAATGACAGGGCCGACGATGAGAACCACTGTCTGCATGATCGACACGCTAAGCTCACGGCTGAACTTTCTATGATCAATGGTAACATATCTTCAGTCCAGTGCCGGGCTGCAAACGATATAGCCTGTCTGACAGATCAGTTAGAGAAACTCCGATCAAGATCTTGTGAACAGTTGGCAATTATCGATAAGCTTATGGAGGACATACAAATATCCATTCAAAATACAAAAAAAGTTGCAAAGGGAGCAGTGACGACGCGACATTGTATTTGATTTACTAGTAGATTTTTCATAGCAGCGATTCAACCAGATCCATAAAATGTCAATACAGTATTTTAAACTTTTTATAAACTTCTAAAAAATAATATATAGCAATATCTGCAATTATTATTGTATATGTACGATATTATTGATTATTTATTTATTTGATAAATATACTCCTTAAGAGCATTTGATTAAAAATACAGTAAAGTAGATACAAGTAAGTAATTGATAACAAGCAGTGAAAATAAGTAAACTGAAAAACTAAGTTAACCTGGTAAGACTAAGGTTGGTTTAACAGAAGAAAATTTCTGTGGACAGGCTGATGACCATACGAGGTGAGATAAGTAGCAATAGAGTAAAAGGAATGGTGATTGTAAGCGCCCACAAAAGGGTAGCTACCCGAAGGACCAGCAAATGTGTCTCTGTAGGAATTGAGTAACACAAATAATTCGATTTTTTCCGACTCTGTTGCTTCGGTGCTTATGTACTTGAAGTCTCTCTACTAACAGCTCCTTGAATAGTTGTTCATTGACTTCTGTTACATGTATTATGGTGTCGGTGTTATTTTCCACATCCACATTTCCTTTCGAAGTGGTGAGACAGTTGCTATCAATTCTTTTTATAATCAAATCTTTGCTGGTCTTGTAGTATGTAACATAGGGTAGATCTAACCAACCTCTACCTACTATGAGCTCCGCGCGCTGCGCATCATCAGGCACTACTAAAAGCGTTACTGGACCGACTTCGACACCATCAACTGTTATGCTCTCAAGAGCTTTTCCAACGGTTGAGGTAGTAGGTACGGTCACACTACCAACTCCATACAACGGTTGTTCAACGTATTCAATCGCCAACCCAATTCTTGTGTTTAATTAATGAATAATGCGAACCAGTATCTACAAGTAGGCTCACCACTTCGCCTAATATGGTACCTTCCTTTAAATACCGATGTGGGTTGTCGACTGAAATTCTCGTCGCTATCACATTCGCTTCTGTCTTGCTTCCTCCAGGACAGTCTCTTTTTATGTGTCCTTTACCGTTGCAACCATAACACGTCAGCTTTTCTCGGCGCTGAAAACAATCGCGTCCAACGTGGCCAGTCTTGTGGCAGAACCAGCATTCAACCTGTTCACGAACTTGTAAATCCGGGTTGGTTGTAGTATCTTTAGTCTCCCGTCGATGTGGCGCTACATATAACGGAACTTGTGTCATGGATGTCGTCACGGTTTTGTCCGATCTTTTAGGATTGTAATTGGTTTTTCCACTCTTTTTTTCAAACAACTCGTCTTTCCTGCTTAACTCACCACGCAGAGTGTTCAACCTTTCCCACTCTAATAGATCACCGAGCAACTTGTCTTCATTTACATGTTTGTTGCTCAACGCAAAAAGAGCTAGTTCACGAGAATACACACCCTGTAATACGTGGTCCTTGATTTCGTCGAAAGTTAATTTCAACTTGCGACACAATCTTGTTTTTTCATGGAAGAAATCTACTATATGTTCGTTCTTAAAGTTGGACGAGTTTCTGCATTTGGTTCCATCGGGCGGTGGTACGCAATCCTCGCACGAATGTGGACCTGAACTTTGTCGAGAAATCGTCCCAGCCGTTGAATTCTCGTCCCAAAAACCAATTTCGGGCCGCTCCGACCAAACACGAGCGTATGAACTACAACCTGTAGTTAACAGGCCAGTTGTTTAACCACGCCAACGCGTCGACAGACTCATACCTAGTGATGGGCACTGGGTAAATACCCGATGGGTAAGAAATTTATTTCGGGTAAATACCTGGGTAAATACCCATGACATAAATACCTTTCCAAAATCGGGTATTTATTTTATTTTTTTTCATCGCACCGGCGGCCGTCACACTGCTGAAGTTGGTGTGCGTGTGCGGCGACTAGCATGTGCTATAAATATCTTACTTATCAGTTATCTATAATAATAATCCACACTACTTAGACTATGGCATTATGCGGTACGCCAATAGCTAACAGTCAACACACTCAACACCACGATTTATTCATGATAGGTCGATATAAGATATAATATTAATATGAAGTTGTCGCCGTTGATAATAATTACGCGTTTACTGTTATAAGGTTATTTTGTTTTCATTGTTTGCGTTTTTGTCTGCCAAACATGCATTGAAATCACATACTTACGTTTTCAATAAGTTTTATTCTAATTTTAGTTTTATTTTATTTAAAAATATAATTATTATGGGAAGAAAACAAGATCCGATCCGTAAATATTTTAAAAAAGTCGGTATTGATGAAAAGCGTCAATCGTGTAAGTTTTGTTCAAAAGAATACAATTTAAACGTGAACAAAATGAAATCACATTTATTTAAATGTCTACAATGCCCAAAAGAAACTAAAAAGAAATTTAAGCAGAGCACAATTCAAATATCAACTTTGGATGTAGATGCATATGATGTTATTAATGACCAAGTTCAAGTTCAATCAACATCAAAAGAAGTTCCCCAATTACAAATCCAGCAGCACTCAGAAAACTTCAGCAGGTTTTTTGACAGAATGGATAAAGGGGAAAATGTAAGTTAATTTACTAGTTTGTCTTTATATTGAATTCGTACAATTGTACCCAGTACCTATTTAATATAGTAGTATTTTATTATATGTCAAATTAGGTACCTAATGTTATAATTAAAGTATATAAAGGGATAATTTTATGTTATATTGGTACAAGGGTACAACACCTAGGTGTATTTGCTTATTTTGATCCATTTTGGTTTTTTTTTTTTAAACATTTTTGTTTTATTAGTACATATTTGATACCATCTTAAGGGTTTTCTTGACATTTGTCATTAAAATTTTGTCTATTGTCTTTTGTTGTAATTGATAATAATATAACTATTTATACAAATAGGTACATAATATATATTATAGATATGCTTAAAATGGTATGTATAAATTAATTAAAATAAGGTTTAAATGTTTTGAATATTATAAATTATTAATTAATATTCATTACATTTTTATAGATTTATTATCTGTTTAAACAAAAATAATAAAACTATGCCTAATTTAGGTACTTACTTTTTTTTTTTATAATTTATTTTTGAGGTTATTATATTTCATAGGTACGTTTGAATGAAAAACTTGCTTTGGCCATCATCGTCAGTGGTTCTCCATTATCAATGACTGAGCACCCACTTTGGATTGACTTTTTTAGGCAAATTCGACCAACCTTTAAACTACCTTGTCGAAAATTTATATCTACAGTTTATGTGGATAAAGTGTATGCTGAAATGCAGAGTAGTATTACTCATGATCTTCTTGAGGCAAATGATTTACATATTCAACTGGATGGATGGACCAATATAAATAATGATGGCATAATAAACTTTGTTATTTGTAAACCAGAACCATTGTTTGTCAAATTTCTGAACACCAAAGATAACCGTCATAATGCTGAATTTTTAAAAAACCAAATTGTTGAAATAATTGAAACATATGGTAAGGAAAAATTTTTTGTCATTATAGGGGATAATGCTGCTAATGTTAAGAAATCATTTGAACTGGTAAAAAATGTGTGTAAAGGGATTCAACCACTGGGATGTGCAGCCCATGGTTTACATCTCTTATGTTCTGATATTTTTAAAGTAAATTCAGTTAGTGAATTCTTGAAACAAAACTCTAGTATTGTTAGTTCTATAAAAAGATCACAATTATTATCTTCTGTCTTCAAAAAACACCAAAAAATTAAAGGCATTAATGTTCAATTGAAATTGCCTGTCAAAACCCGTTGGGGGAGCTTTCTATTTTGTTTGGAAAGTTTGATGAAAAATAAAAGTGTTTTACAGGCCTTGGCAGTCGATGACACTATTCCAATTTCATTATTAAGACCTATCAAATTGACATTAYTTGATGATTCTAAATTTTGAGAAAATGTTTTAAAAATGATAAATTTATTAACCCCAATAGTAAATGCAATTACAGTCTTAGAATCAAATCATAATCTTATCCATAGAGTTAGAAGTCTGTTAAATGATGTGGAGAAAAAAGTTGAAGCATGCTTTTCGTCTTCAATCACAAATTCTCTTTTTTCTATTTCTGAGGAACTGAATATAATTAATAATGTTGCAAAAAGAAAAATCTTTATTCTTGGAAAAATTCATTTAGCTGCTGAATTGCTGGACCCTAAATCACAAGGACTAGAATTAAATGCAGATGAACGTGTTGATGCTTTAGAATTTATATATAATTTAGGAGTTGAAATGAAAATAGATATAATGAATGATCTCTCAGATTATCAATCAAAGCAAGGATATTTTGCTAAAAAATTTATTTGGGAAAATTCTTTGATTACTGATCCAGTAAAGTGGTGGAAATTCTTAGATCACATATCGCTATTATCTAAATTTGCAGTAAGAATATTAACTGCTCCTCGTACTTCTGCTGCTACTGAACGAACATTCAGCACTTTTTCTTGGATACATAGCAAAAAAAGAAATAGATTAACTACAGAGAGAGCTGGGAAATTGACATACTTATCTTACAATTGGAAGCTAAAAAATAAAAAAAGTGAAATTTCCAAAAATACAGAAGCAAATAATTGTGAAGAATCTTCTGTTGTTATACAAGAAATACAAAATTCATCGAGTTCTTTTAACTCTGAAAAAAACGATGAAAATATGATTATCTCAAAAAGTGATTCAGACAGTGATTGTGATTCAGATTCAGAAACATCTATTTTATATAATGATACCAGTAGTGATGAAAACTCAGTTTCATGTTCAGAAAAAGAAGATGAGGATAATTATTAATTATTATTTTGTTATGCATTTTATATTTTGTTTATATTATAACAGCAAAGAGCTAATGGACATTTTATTTTGTTATGTTTAATTTTTATTCAGGTTATAGAAATTTGTATTTCTTTATTATGCATTTTACATTTTGTTTGTATTATATTTAGCAAGGAGCTAATGAACAATTTATTTTGTTATGTTTTGTATGTATTTGGATTAAATAAATACATTTTTTTTTATTATTCAACTAGCTGATCCCGTGCACTTCGTAGCCCGATAAAAATCTTACCTCTCACATTTCTCAAACTGTGTGCTAAATTCGTTTCCTGTGATTATGCTAGCAGTATGTTTTATACAATATGTAAATMAATAATGGTTAAAATATAATAAGCAATAATCTTACAACGGTATTCAATTTAATTCATCATTATGTAAATTTATTCGTTTTATCGAGCAAATTCTGACAATTCAAATATTTAATTGAATGSTATTTGGATCTATCACTTTTAGCTTATCCTATATTCTGCCAATAAGTCTCATAAATCTCTGTGCCAATTAATTTTGTGTTCGTAATCGGCCCAARTATTGGAATTTGAATACATAAAGGATAAACAGACGAATCCATTTATATATATATAGGTTGTCCCGTGAGGATTTACCCATTAAAATATCTCACGAAATAATGGAGATATAAAAATTCTGGTTTTATAATAAGAT